TTGAAAAAAAAGTTTTAAAATTAAAAAACCAACAAAAAATGTCCTTATCATTTTTTTGATAAAATGAATATTTTCGCAGATAGCGCAAAAAACAACAAGTAGCGGTTGGACCTCTCTGTCACGCGCACGCATCCCACGGACTCTAGCGACGAACGACAGGCACAGAAAAATACAGAGACGAAAAAAAAATTCCATTCTCGGTGTCAACTGAAGATTAAGAAAAGAAACTCATAGATATCATAGAGGAGACTCTATGGAAGATTTCCAGACTAATAATCGGTAGATCCACCCTATAGACACCGAGTAACAGCCCCACAAAAGGGAGTTTTTTAATTAAATTAACTGAATTTCGACTTTAAAAAATTCAATCCTCGGTGTTCTCCGGATATTATAAATTCTCGACAAATAAGTCAAAGATTGCTTTTTATGGGGCTGTTACTCGGTGTCCATGGGGTTAATCTATTAATTACGGGTCTGGAAATCTTCTGTATAGTTTCCTAGAAGATTCCCATGAGTTTGCTTCCTTAATCTCAGGTGGACACCGACGATTAAATTTTTTAAAGTCGAAATTCAGTTAATTTAATTAAAAAACTCCCTTTTATGGGGCTGTTACTCGGTGTCTATGGGGTTAATCTATCGATTATGGGTCTGGAAATTATCAGTAGGGTCTACTGAAAAAATTCTATGAGTTTCCTTCCTTAATATACAGTAGACACCGAGAACTGAATTTTTTATAACTGAAATTCTCGACAAATTAGTCAACGAACGCCTTTTATGGGGCTGTTATTCGGTGTCCATGGGGTTAATCTATTGATTATGGGTCTGGAAATCTTCTGTATAGTATTCTAGAAGATTCCCATGAGTTTTCTTCCTTAATCTCCGGAGGACACCGAGGATTGAATTTTCTAAAGTCGAAATTCCGTCAATTTGATCAAAAAATTGCCTTTTATGGGGCTGTTACTCGGTTTCTATGTGGTTAATCTATTGATTATGAGTCTGGAAATCTTCTGTATAGTGTCCTAGAAGATTCCCATGAGTTTTCTTTCTTAATCCCCGGAGGACACCGAGGATTGAATTTTCTAAAGTCGAAATTCATTTAATTTAATTAAAAAACTCCTTTTTGTGGGGCTGTTACTCGGTGTCCATGGGGTTAATCTATTAATTACGGGTCTGGAAATCTTCTGTATAGTTTCCTAGAAGATTCCCATGAGTTTGCTTCCTTAATCTCAGGTGGACACCAAGGATTGAATTTTCTAAAGTCGAATATCCGTCAATTTAATTAAAAAACTCACTTTTGTGGGGCTGTAACTCGGTGTCCATGGGGTTAATCTATTAATTACGGGTCTGGAAATCTTCTGTATAGTTTCCTAGAAGATTCCCATGAGTTTGCTTCCTTAATCTCAGGTGGACACCAAGGATTGAATTTTCTAAAGTCGAA